AGCGCAAAACTTGTCAAAAGCATTTCAACGGCGTTGTCGGGAAAAGCCCATCGAGAGAAATATTCCGTTGCGACGGCGAATATAGCAAAACTTTACGAGTGGACGCAATGTTGCGCGCGGGGGTTGTGACTTCATAATAGCAATCTGCCTTTGTGCCCTCTCGCGTGCGCTTTAACTGCTACGTTTCGAAATGTAAACTGTTGGTAAACACTCCTTAATGTTTCCAAACATGTTTTAAAAGAGCACGCGCTTCCCCGTCGTTCATTTTGGTACGTAAAAATGTAATATTTGGCTTATTTGATGCGGGGGAGTCACTTGGAGGAGCTGACGCTACCTTTGGTCTGTTTAATGTCCGTCTCTCAGATGATGGCAAAAGCTAACAGCTCTTCATTGAGACAACATGATAAAAGCATTTACTTTATAATTCCTTTTGATAAACTCTGTTAAAAGCACACGGTTTGGTAGTTTCGACGGGGAAATCGCCTGCTCGGTCGGAGCGGGTCGCTGGCGTTGCGCTGGAGCGTCGCGTTGCTCTTATCTTTGTTGCTTCCTTAAAGAGCAGCAGCTGCCGCCTGGCCGAGTTGTTGAAATGTATCCCTTTGTGTATATTACAATATCCTCCATTTTTTCTGCCCTCTAAACAACAAGCCTCACGCCATCTTGGCTCATTTGAACCGGCGGAGCCGTGTGTTAGGACTCGAGCTGCACATGTCGTTACAGGCAGAAAGTTTAGAAATGTCTTGTGTGGTGGCGGTGACGTCATGTGAAGTTGAAGTAAAATGTGATGTTTTGCCAAGAAGGCGTCGAATTTGTTGTCTCGCTTGACATTGGTGCAACACTCTGTTTTCGGTTAGTTTTGGTGTCGGAATGACTCCAGTTGAATAAAAACAAACATTTTGATGTGATCTCGAGAATCTTACGCGGTGTTTAACGATCCGGTGTTTACAGGTGGATGAATGACATCAGCACACTAATGATGTCATTTAGTGAGGTGAACTGTTTGTTTTCTTGTCTTTGTTTAAAATTGAGAAATTTTTTTGTGTGGCATTTTTTCCCCCCGTGAAGGATTAGGAAGAATGTGCTGTAATGATGAATCAGTGACCTAAGGCTTCACATCCATTTCAGAGATTTTTTCCTCCTTGAATGACCAGAATCGTATTTTGATCTTTTCAGAATTAGGCAATCAGACATGTTTGAGTTTGTCATATGAATTTATGGCTCACGAGGTTAATAATTATGGTCTCACTGTACAGTCATTTCCTCATTTAGAAGACGTCGGATGTTCTAGTTAGCTTATGATGTGCCTATGTATGCTACTTTTGTATACAGCCTGTATGTTTTATTTTAAGTTAAATGAAATGTATGCATTTAGCAGACGCTTTTATCCAAAGCGACTTGCAGTGCATTCAGGCTATACATTTTTTATCAGTATGTGTGTTCCTTGGGAATTTAACCCACCGACCTTTGCGCTGCTAACGCAATGCTCTACCACTGAGCCACAGGAACATTATTTGTGCTTGTACACTCACAGATAGAGTTTTACTTTACAGTTGACCTCCTGATGTGTAAGAAGTAAGTAAAGATGATAGTAAGTAAAGTAGTGGTTTGTGAATGAACAGTCCTTCACAAAAAAGACCTTCAAAAAAGCAAGTGTTACATACTTTTATGCAAGTCATGAACTTTTTACAATTAGTGGTCAGCGATGCAAAACCCTGCTGGTTAAATGGCTGGACTGTCTGTTTTGTATCAGTAGGGCTCGGTCTCATCATGTAGCCCAGTGCCCTAGTCATTATGCATGGCGGAGGCTGCTGTTTTTACAGAATGCCTCAGATGGAGAAGTCAGTGTTTCCACCTCCCATCTCTTTGTCTGAGCATGTGCTTCTGCTAAAGCCATGAGAGCAGGGGAGCAGATGTTTAGCCAAACATCCTGACGAGATGCTTTTCTCTTGTGGGAATGCCGCCTCTTCCTCCCTGTTCCCGATGCATCGCCTTGACAGCTGCTTGATTTCATGGAACCGCTAAGAAGCCATTAGCGGTATCAGTGAATTGAAACGGAACAGTCTCACCCACTCTCTTCTTCCATTAGAAATGGCTATTGTTGGATGTTTTTTCTTCTTCTTTCTTTGTGGGAGTGTGAGTGTTTGTGCTTATTCGGAGCACATAGAATTCTCTTATATACTTGTGCTGTTTTTCTTACCACGAATTAGGGAGAGCAAATCTGTCAGGGCCTGTTTGTGCTGTTGGGGTTTGAAGGGATCTCACACTGTGCTCTCTCAAGCACACCCAGACCACTGGATGTCTGTAGCTGCGAAGAGAGAGAGAGAGAAAGAACTTTGCTTGGGGTTAGAGTGTCAGCCACACGTTTCTGTCCAGGATGTTTGTTGTTTTCCAGACAGGATATGGGTTAGGCTTGTGAGAAGATGTTTGTATCTAGGAATTAGTTTAATTTGGAATCTTTAGAAGGATCTTGCTTAAGCTCTGTTGCATGCCTTTGTTGCGCGTACAACAACAAATGATTGTGGTGTAATGAGCTGATTCTGAGAAATGTGGGTTGTAAGAAATGGGTCTCGAGTGCGGAAGCTGTCGAATCAAAGTTTAGCGCAGACAATCCCAAATGCACATGGGTTTGTGTTTATAATCGCACTTCTTCCGAAACGTGCACTGATCATTTAAAGATGATTTAAATTTATTGGATGTTCCACTCATGCTGTTACATAATATGAATGACTAGAGAGCAGTTAACACGCACAGCCCTGCCTGAGTCTCATAGTCTAAATGGCTCTATGGGCTTTCATTCTACATCTTATTGGATTAGACGATATTATAGTCAACTGCAGTGTATAACATTGTGCTTTCACTTTAACAACTTACTTGACACCCTTTCCAGAAGATTACTTATTCCTTGGTTATGTTTAGTAGGTAAATGTCCCCAGCACTCTTCCCGCCACATCCCTACTTGCCACTACGTCCCCTTTCTGCCTCTCATCACTTCGTCTGCTCACCCCCCAGCAGAAGGCATTCTATACCCACGGCGATAAGTACCATCTGTGCCATCACCCGCCAACACCTGCCCCTGAGGAACTGGAGCTATGGGGCGGCTTTCCCTCTCGTCGCCCCCCCTCGCTCTTCCTCAGTGCACCTCTCTGTCACTCTGATAATTCTTC